GCTACCAGAGCTCCTTAACTATACCAGAGTATTTGTGGATGCAGGCCACACCCCTAACGAAACTCCTCTTCCAACTTAATGGCTGTTCACATCAGATTACAAAATGAAAGGCTGATTACACAGAGTCTGCCAAACCACTTAGAATCATAGCCTAGACAAGTTGGCACATAACATTAACCATTGTACCAGCCTTACTAATCGATGAATAAGAAAACAGGTTGGATCTTTTGAATTACAGTATAAATATTCCATACTCTGGGATTCTAAAGAAGTTCATGTTATCTGAAAAAAGATGAAGTTTTCTTGGTGATACACTGATTGAAATGAAAATGGGGAAACATGTAGTTTAATGTAGATCTTAGTAACAAACCTTCCGCATGGGCTGAGCATAGATACCAAGGTCACTCGTTTTCATACCATGTTGGCCGTGAAGTTAGCTGAGAATACTGTGTAATGAAAAGCACTGTTTCTGGAACCTGACATAATGAGCAGAGCCTACCATCAGGACTTTAAATACCTGCTGCACCTAATAATAATCATGCAACCAGGGGCCAGTTAGGAAACCTCTATGATTCTCATCTGTAAAATGCAAGGATCACACCTACATAACAGGGGTGTTATTAGGATTAAATAAGAATGTGTAAAGTGCTACTTATTCATACAACACTGGCACTTAATCACTCAATGAATGTTAGTTGTTGAGTTATTCATGTTTACAATTTTTTCCAAAAAAACTGAACTCAAAAAAAATCCTTCAGTGTGTGAATACTTAAACAGAATGTTAATTATTAATTAAACTCAGCAATAAAAAACATAAAGTATTATTGCACTTAACAAACTAGATGGGTCCTAAGAACATTATTCTGAGTAGGAAAGGGGAATCTAATGTGGCTCTGTAGGTTAAACACTGGACTGGGCTAACAGAAAGATTGGCACTTCAAACCCACCAGCTACCCTTGGAAATCCTTTACAGGGTGGCTATGATTTTGAACCGACTCAAGGGCACACAAGAGCAACAATGACATTCTCAAAATGACAAAATTATACTGATCAGTGATTGTCAGGGGCTAGAGTTGTGGGAAAGTTTTGACTATAAAGGGGTTGTTGTTATTAACTGCTGTTGAGTCGGTTCAGATTCATACCAACCCTGTATGTATAGGGTTTCTGAGGAGCAGCTAGTGGGTTTGAACTGCCGACCTTGCAGTTAGCAGTCCAGGGCTTATCCTACAGCACTACATCATGAGTCCATAAAGGAGTGTGTGTGTGTGTGTGTGTGTGTGTGTGTGTATGGGGCGGGGGGTAATGTGCCTGTAACTTTATAGGTTAACAGCACAAGGGCTTTCAAGCTGTTTGTCCAAAACTGAGAATGTGCTAGGAGGCTGTGGTGGTGGTGGTGCTGGTGGTGGTGTGTCTTGGAGTAGATCCGACTCAGAGCCACGCTGTATAGGGTTTCTGAGACTGTAATACCTTCATGGGAAAAGGGAGAAGAGCAGAGAGTGAGATCCTACCCAGAGAAGCAGTGATGCCTGAAATGGAGGCAGAGACAATGACGTGGAAAGATGGAGCAGCTGGGGACTTTAGACCCAGAGAGGGAGAGGGGCTGTGTGCTGACGACCGGGGGATGGCAGGCTTGTAGGATATACCCTTTGGTTGGTTGATGATGCATGGAGGGGATTGTAACCATGGCAGTGAAACAATATACAATAGGATGAATGTAAAACTAATGTTCTCCCATGTAAACTATCATATACACAATAAAATATTTAAAAAAAAAAAAAAACCTTCATGGGAGCAGAAAGCCTCATCTTTCTTTTGCAGAGCCTCTGGTAGATTTGAACTGCTAACCTTGTGGTTAGCAGCCCAACTTGCAACCCACCATTCTACCAGAGTTCCTTCCATAGAGGTTGTTATTGTTAGGTGCTGTTGAGTCAGTTCCTACTCAAAGCAACATTATGCACAACAGAACAAAACATAACCCAGCCGTGCATCATTATAACAGTGATTCTTCAGCTTGAGTTCTTTGCTGCTGCCATTGTGCCAACCCATCTCCATGGAGGTCTCCCTCTTTTTCACTGACCCTTCCACTTTACCAATGGCTCTTGATGGAACAGTTGTAAGTCCTGCATATTGTGGTGATTTCAATGTGATACAGTTTCTTACAAAGAGATAAAAACAAGAGGGAGTACATGTAAAAACAGTGGTGTCCAGTAAGCTCTGTAACTGAATTTCAGTATCGTATCAAAGTCAATGTAACAGTTTTGATCATTGTGCTATGATCTTGCAAAATGTTATCATTGGAAAAAGATAGGTGAAGGGCACATGGGAATGTTATGTACTTTTTTTTTTTTTTTTGCAACTTCTATGTGAGCCTAAAGTTATTTCAAAATTGAAGGTTTAAGGAAGTACACTAGAAAGAAACAAATCATCCTTGATCCTCTTTTTATGCTAAGGATGAAATTAGATAATGGCAGGGTGCTACTTCAATCATAGGCTGAACTGTTTTTGGCCATTGCTCAGGTCCTGCTGAAGCATGCCACAGAAGGATCACAGACATTCTGTTTTTGTTTTTAAAATTCTTCCAAAGAAAGGGATGACTCGACATTCACAAAACCATTCCATGGTATTCATGGAACGATCTTACTCACAAAACATGAAAACGGTGTACAAGCACCTGAAGTCTAATTCTGGACATCCCGTTCGTATCTGATACTGGGTCAGATAGGACCTGCCCATCTTTCTGCAATTCTCTTGGTGCCCTGGTGGCTCAATGGGTTAGGCGTTGCTCAGCGAACCACAAGGTCCGGCCGCTTGGCAGGAGAAAAATGAGGCCGTCTACTCCAGTGGTACTCAGGGAAGCAGCAGTCAAGAAATCAAACGACGTATTGCATTAGGCAAATCTGCTGCACAAGACCTTTTTAAAGTGTTGAAATGCAAAGATGTCAGCTTGAGGACTAAAGTGTGCCTGACCCAAGCCATGGTATTCTCAATAACCTCATATGCATGCGAAAGCTGGACAGTGAATAAGGAAGACCGTAGAAGAATTGATGCTTTTGAGTTATAGTGTTGGAGGAAAATATTCAAAGTGCCATGGGCTGCAAAAAGAACCAATAGGTCTGTGTTGGAAGAAGTGCAGCCAGAGTGTTCTTTGGAGGCCAAGATGGCCAAACTTCGCCTCTCATTTTTCAGACATATTGTCAGGAGAGACCAGTCACTGGAGAGGGATATCATGTTTGGTAAGGTGGAGGGTCAGAGAAAAAGAGGAAGACCCCCAATGAGATGGATTGGCCAAGTGGCAGCATCGATGGACTCAAGTGTGACAACAGTAGTGAGGTTGGCCCAGGATCGGGCAGTGTTTCGTTCTGCTGTGCATAAGGTCACTATGGGTCGGTACCGACTCGATGGCACCTAACAACAACAATAACTCCAGTAAGGATTAGTCTCCAAAATCCTATGGAGCAGTTCCACCGTGTCCTATGGGGCTTCCCTTTAAGAAGGCTTGCTGGGCCCTGGGCTGGAGAAGTAAGAATGAAGGCTGCAGAGAAAAGCAAACCATAGCTTCACTGGTCGGAGTTTAAAAATAAAAATAATAAAAAAGGACAACCAGCTCCACAAAACTGGAGAGACCCTTCCAAGAAGCACCACAGTACCGCCTTCCCGCCAACCCGAAATAAGCAGAGAAATAGACCAGGTGGGCAGGAACTACGGCAGGTCTACCTGCAGAAAATGGAAAAAAAATATATGAAAAATGCGATGATTGAGATGTAGCAGAAAACGAACAGCAGCAGATGAAGGGGCAATAACGACTCCAGCAAACCTCCGAACCATCTTCGCCCTGTTGTCATAGCAGTTTACAATGAACACTACTGCGCAGGTCACACGGCTGCGCCGCGATGCCTTCTGGGGGTTGTAGTCCAGAATGTCTAGGGAACGTGAGTGGTGGAAAACAATTTCTGAGCGGGCCGTAGTTAAATCAGATTTCTTCAAGGACGGAGCTGGAGTGAACCACTTTAGCAGAGAGTGTTATAATTCTCTTTTCCGTCTTCGAACTCGCTCCTCAGACCCGCTCCTACCCCGAAGCAGGCCCCGCCCCCTCGAACTCATGGGCGGGGCTTGGCGCACGGGGCGGGGCGTTCCCGGCTACTCTGCGGCGCGCGCTCGGGTTCCGCGCTTCCAAGGCTCTCACCGTTGCGATCGGTGTCTGGCGTTGGATTTGGTGCGGAAGGCACAGGAGGGCCCTGTCCATGGACCGGGCGGCAGTGGCTAGGGTGGGAGCGGTAGCGAGCGCCAGCGTGTGCGCCCTGGTGGCGGGGGTGGTGCTGGCCCAGTACATATTCACCTTGAAGAGAAAGACTGGGCGGAAGACGAAGATCATCGAGATGGTGAGTGCCGTGGCTCGGCGCGCCTGGAGCGCGGAGGGACGAGCGGGCTACGGGTTGAACTACCGCCCGGCTCACCTTTCCCTCCCGGCTGGGCCGCTGTTTGGACGCAACCGAGAGCCGATGGCCTCGCCTGTCGGGTGAGATCCGGTGGACGAGGGGATCCGGTTAGTCCACGGGGGCGGCCTGTGTGATCCGTGCTCGGTTCCAGATCCCCGACTGCACTCGGGTTCCAGTCGCTTTTGTTTTGTCTACGTTTGGAATTGCCAGGCTACAAATAGATGATTCGGAAACTATCTTGCGCTGCAAAACTCATTTCTCAAGTGATTAGATTGCAAGAAGGTCCTGTAGTAGATGGTTTTCCCATGCCCCATCCCGCGTTAAACCGTTGCAACGAGCTTGTTTCCCACACAATCGCCTTCTATCTGTGTAAAACAAAAGTTTTGACTGCATGGCTGACGTGAAGTAGAGAATTAGAGGATTTAGTGTCTTCAATGCTTAAAAGAATGTTGATCAACCCTGTGGGAACGCAAAATACTTTATCATGTATTTGACTGTACTGCCTTGTCTTAAGCAGCGAGAAAGTATCTTTGCGTTCTTTTTCTTCCAAAGGTCTTGCGTAACATTATTTTAGAAGACACTGATTTCCGTTATGTTAAAAGAGTAAATTTCAAATTTTTTTGTTGTAGGTACACTATAAATAATTTGTTGTTAGGAAAGCTTGGGAATGTTTTCTTTACTTAATTGTTTTATAATTAGAGCACATTTGACAAGACAAGTCACTCTGACTTGCATCCTAATGTATTTACTGGCATGCATATCCCTGGGTATACCCTAAAAGTGAGGTCCCAAACTTAAAGATAGGAATAAATGGAGAATCTGCCACTATAATCAATATTAACACTTTAGGTTATCATATACTATTTAAAGGAGCTCTGGTAGCGTAGGGGTTATTAATCGGGCTGCGAACTGCAAGGTCAGCAGTTGGAAACTACCAGCTCCGTTTCGCGGGAGAAAGATTAGGCTTTCTGCTCCCGTACAGGTTTACAGCCTCGGAAACCCTGTACAGGGACGCTGTGAGTCGGAATCGACCCCACGGCACATAACCGAGACCACCACCATACTATTTAAGTCACAATCCTGTGTTCAAATTGGTGAAAGAAACGATTCGTCCTTATTGGATGCTATTGGTTGACTATAGGAATAACATAATTAAAAGTTGTTGTTGTTGTCTTAAAGATTAACTCCTACATATCTCATACTCAAAAAATATTCCCAGGATTTCAATGAATTGTTTGATTTTCATTTTCTTGTCTTTGTGTCACTTCTTTTCTCCAATTGTGTTGTTTTTGTTTTTAAGTTCTGTCAAGTCAATTTCACTCATAGCTACTCTGTATAGAAGATGGGTTTCCAGGAGCAGCTGGTGAGTTTTAACCACCCACCTTGCAATTAGCAGTGAAGTGCTTATCCTGCAGTATTGCTAGGAACTCAGGAAACCTTTATTAACAAAAATATCAAAATGTGAAGCTCTTGTTTTTCCACATATCCTTCATCTAGGTCTTCTGAAAGTAGTTTTCCATTTCTCTAACCCTTCCCTGAACACTTGCCCTCTTCAATTTATACTACATCAAAGTGACAGTTTTGACATCCTTGAGGAAACTCAAATCATTTCCATTTCAATGTTCTATGAGTCTGACGGGGCAAGATCAGGGCTATAGATCGGACGGGGTAAGATTTGCCAATGGTACTCAAAAATGAGGAGGTGTATTATTGCGATGGAAAACTATTTCTGGCCTTTTTCACACCAGGACTTTTGTAAACCCATAGCAAGTATTTTCGTCTCTGATCATATTGCTACCCTACTTAGAGAACTCCATGAGTTTATAATATGTACATGATAGGAAACTGATGACCATCTTTTCTGATACTTGCTTAAACTATGGAATGGTCTGATATCTTGCTTTTGCTCTAAACCAGGTAGGACTAAAAACGAATGCTTTCCCAGAATCCCACAATCATATATCATAGGAGCATTTTGGTCATTGTGAAAAATGACGACTGCCATCAGGAGGAACAACTTTATTTGTTTCTTATAACATGCGTGGTGGTTACGAGTCAGGCTGCTAACCTCAAGGTCAGCAGTTCGACACCACCAGCGGTTCTGCGGGAGAAAGATGAGGCTTTCTGCTCCCGTAAAGATTTACAGCTTCAGAAACCCTATACAGGGTCATTAAGAGTCGGAACCGACTCCACGGCATACCACCACCAACCACTATCATACCTGCTTTAATTCAGATGGTGATATATGTGCAACATGCATGTTCTGACTCACAGCGACCATGCATAGGGTTTCTGAGGCTTTAAATATTCAAGAGAGCAGAAAGTGTCATCTTTCTCCCACGGAGCATTTGGTGGACTTAAACTGCTGACCTTGTGGTTCACAGTCCGGTACTTACTGTATGGAGCCACGATGCTCCCATGTAGCCTGGCTAGTAGCTCTTAAATGGAAAAAAATAAAAAAGCTTTATATTTTTACCTTTCAAAATTTTAATAGATTGCTTTTTCAAATAGGAGAAGCATTTAATTGAGAATCCGAAGACCTGGGTTCAGATCCTGATTCCATCTCTTTTATAATTGCCTATTTTAAGAGACTGTGCTCTGCCCCATGCCCTCCATCTCTTCCCCACCTTAGAAAATTTGTACAAGCCTATTGACATCCAATTGGCACAACACACTGGTCATAGCTAATGGAACTAGAGAACCTGTCCTCCATGGGTAATCCATAGAGGACCAGGAACGCAAATGACTTCTGCAGAATGGTCCCAGATAATGTACTGCCTTTCAAGAATTATTAAGGAGCCCTGGTGACTCCGTAGGGTAAATACAGGGTTGGCAGTTCAAACCCATCAACTACCCCTTGGGAGAAAGAAGAGACTTTCTACTCCCATAAAGATTTACAGCCTAAGAAACCCTATACAGGGTTGCTATAAGCTGGAATCAACTTTATGGCAGTTGGTTGTTTGGTTGAAGAGTTATTAATTAAGAGCCAGAGCCCTGATATGGCATTGTATGATAAGCATTGGACTGCTAACTGCAAGGTTGGTGGTTCAAACGCACCAGCTGCTCATTGGAAACCCTATACAGGGTCATTGTGAGTCTGAACCAACTTGATGGCACTTTAACAACAACAACAATTAGAGGCAGAGATAGAGGAAGTTTTGCTAGTGGGTTGTGGATGCTAGAGCTGAAATGTCATACAGGATAAATATATTCTCACTCCACTTACCAACATAGTTAGGTTCCAAAGACCAGATCGTTAAGCAAAAACTGATGGTATGGGTAAGTCAGGGTGACCATATCATATCCCAAAGTGGAGGGTGACTACACCATTCTATGATCAGTTTTCAGACTTCCTTTGTTTTCACTGACTTTGGAAGTTTTGAGGAGTGCTGATCATTCATTTTATAGAATGTTCCACAGTTGGAAATTTTTTTGGAGAGAAACAGGACGCTGACTTTATTGCTTCACTCTATAAATAACTGAGTTCCTACCAAATGTCAGCTAATGATAGATACAAGGTTGTATAGGAATAAGGTGTTTGCCCTAGAAAAACTAAGATTACAATGGAAATGGAAGATTGTTCAAGAAAAGAAAAAGATAAGTCTTCAAACTTGCAAGAGGGTTTGATAAAAATGAATGTCTCATGTAGGGGCAAAATGAGGTAAGTGAGAGAAGTCCCATGTGGCCTACAGACATTGTCATGAGTAGGTGCCACTAAGTTGGTTCCCACTTACCTCAATCCCATGCACACTGAACGAAACACTGCCCAATCTTGCACTTTCCTCACAGTTGGTACATTTGATCCCATTGTTGCTGTAAATGTGTCAGTGCATCCTGTTGGGGGTCTTCCTCTTTTTCACTGACCATCCATTTTACCAAGCATGATGTCCTTCTCCAGGTACTGGTCCCTCCTGATGAAATACGAAAGACAAAGTTCCAACATCCTTGCTTATAAGGAGCATTATGGCTGTACTTCCTCCACAAGAGATTGGATTTTCTTCTGGCAGTTCATGGTCCTTTTAATATTCTTTGCCAACACCCTAATTCAAATGCATCAATTCTTCTATGGTCTTCGTTATTCAAATATTTTCTAATTTTAAATGCATATGAGGTGACTGCAAATACCATGGCTTGGGGCAAATCCACATTAGTCCTCTAACTGACATTTTTGCTTTTGGATCCACAGTTGGAATTTGATATATTTCTCATAATAAATGCATTATGGATTTGTGGGAAGGAAGACCATAGAGGTAATAAGTCATTCTTATCACATCACATCAAGAGAACAGGGTATTGACTTGATTAATGACTGCCAGTGTTACCTTGATAACTTGGCTGCGGTAGTGTTTGCCCGGTTTCTTTACTATAAAATAACTTCTATTGCTGGTTCCTTACAGTAGTCTTCGGAGTGACCACACTTAAAAGAGTGGGAAGTTATGCTGAATGCCATAATAAATTATTTGGAATTCAGCTGTACAGGAGATTTGTTGGTTGTGTCCCATTTATTTATTTCTTCAGTCATTATTTATATCACTATGGACTTGTGAGTGTTTATTTTATACTAGGTTATAAGCCAACATTACTTTATTTTGTGGCTGAAATTGTTTGGTTTTTGTCATTGGGCACTCTTTCAACGGATTCCTGTATCCCTTTGACATACTTTGGTCATGTCAATAGGCGCTTTTCCTCCTTTTTTTTCTTCTTCAATAGACAGACCTTTTCCAACTAAGAATGAAATATTAGGTGTCAATCATATGAATGAGAATGAAAAGGATTAGAGCAGAAGTCTGTGAACTGTGGTCGTAGGGCAAATCCATCCATCGCCTGCTGTTGTATAGCCATGAGCTTATAGGGTTTTCATTTTTAAATAGTTAGGGGACATTTTTAAAGGATAAATACTGTTTCATGACACATGAAAATTATACGAAATTTAACTTTCAGTG